ATTGAATTGAGCCTCACGTACGTGTGCAACATGGCTGCTTTCCAACGGCCATGGCGGGAGCACCATGAAGGATGGAGGGAGTTGTTGCTCAAAGCTTAAACCTGCGAGACAGTACCTACCTGGTAAGAAACACTCAGCCATCACGGTTTGTCATGTGTAGTCTTCGACACTCAAGACAGCCTGAAAATTTGGGCAAGCCTTGCTAACAACACCTTTGTTGAAAGACAGCCATGTATCCTCGCGCCCGGTCGTGCTGCCCTGGTTTCGCTCTGCGATGATTGATCGCTACACAGCCTAACACATCGCAAGGCAAGGTTGCAATTCATACGATTCCAAACCTAATCCACAGTGTTTGGGTGGACCGTTCTACCTACTAACGTACCGTTGAAAGAGTTTCATCAACAACACGCTTTCCACGGGACGCTCCGTGAGGCAGGTCCCTAGCAGACTGTTTCTTTCAACGCCACCTAAGCTAACATGTTGTTCAGCATATCCGCTACCAGATTCAGAGAGTATATGTCCTAGACCAGGGCAGCTAGGTAGACAATCACAGCAACGTGGAATGCGAACTAGCCGATCCCACCTCTTGCAGAATGAGCCTTTACAATCAGGCAGATCAAAAAGCATCTGGCAGTTGCCGTTCTGGTCACTATTCCGAATGCTCTTCTCCAATCAAAAGACGAGGGAGGGAGATATGGCCATCGAGGAAACAGCATGGCCACCTATCAAGTGCTCTACTGTCGTTGAGTGTCAAAGGATATGATTCCAACAAGGTCAGTTTTAATTAACTTTGCCATCGTGGAGAACCGTCTCGTTTCATTCTGTTGCTCCTCGAGGAAATAGGACAACATCGGCTCCAAAGCGGATGGAAGATCAAGATACATTTCAAGTCTAGTATTACAAAGATCTTTGCCTTTGTTCGCATTGCAGGAAACGGGGTGATTGAGGTCATAGATGGATTGCTGTCATGGGGAAAAAGTGGGTCTGCCCCTTTTCAAGTAAATAGTGGCTGGTTGGCGGGACAACCCATGATCCACCCATGTCTTGAATCCTCACTTCCTGAGAAGCCTGATGCCATGGGGAATTTTCCTTGCACCTCGATCATCAAGACTCTTACGGATAATTCATTCAAGTGGTCAGAAAAGACTTTAGCTCCAAATGGCAGATTTTGCGATTAAAACAATAGAGTTTCTCATATCGACCCTGACCTATGCTAATTCCAAGGCAATAAAACATCTTCATTGTAAAATCATGGTTAAAAGCATGGCCCGAGCTTGCTGTACTTGCTGTGACTGAAGGCTGGTAAACGTGGTATTTTTAGCTGTTAACTGGTCCATTTATATGTCTGGAGCACTTCCTTTTTCGGAGACATGGGTGGAGCACCACGAGGCCCTGCCTCCTGTGGGCCACCAGTCAAAGGTATCTTGTAAAGCACCCACGTTCAATCCTCTCCTCACTCCGTCGCCCCCGACCAAAAGAAATGAGCCCCAAACTTGTAGAGAAATATTCTGTCTACCCCAAGAAGTCGTGGCGCTGTAGTCCTAAACTCTGCAATGCTCACCCCCTGTGCTCAAACAAATTACGGCCAAACAACAGACATGGACCCAAAACACGCCTCCCTTTACCGTGACTGCTCCTCTCCCCATCTTCCACCTCGCGCCAAGTTGCCTCCTCTCCTGACACGCCCATATCACCCAATCCCTATTCCAATCACATATACACACAACGCCTTTTTTGGGACTTATTCTCACCCAAACCCCCCTTGGCCAAAGCCGTCGTCAAAACGAGCCCTCGACATCCCATAAGCTCCTGTTCAAAACCGCGGTGGTAATGTCTCATCTCGTCCCGGACGTCGAAAAGGCCCTCTTTCCCGAACTCTTTCCCCAATAACGATTTCCGGAAGCCTAACCGTTACCGAGGTAACCCCCCCCCAGACCGGAAAAATCCATCTGCTCCTCGGTCCCGAGATTTTCCCCAAAATCTGCCAGCTGGTAGGTCGTGAGCCACTCGCTCTCCTCTGTATGCCGCCCCCAGTCGTCACCCGCCCACCTGCCCAAGCTGGATGTGCTCACAAACCCAGCCATCGAGCTAGTCTTCTTCGAGTATCTTCTTGGCCGCGCTAGCTGCCCCATAAGGCTGTTCCAGAGCCCCGTCATCAAGGCCAGAGCCTCATCCTCAAGGCCAGAGCCTCACCCTCAAGGCCAGAGCCTCATCCTCAAGGCAAGAGCCCGCGGCAGGCAATCGCAATCGTGAACTTCAACCAAACGCCTCCGTGCCAGGGATGTTCAAGCTTCACTGTGCGTGCCATGTTCCCCAAACGCACCAGCCTAATCGCCCTGTCGCCACGAGCTGTTCACCAGCATCTCGCCGGATCCGGTTCTGCTCTCATGGCGCTCCCTCCGCGCATGCAATCATCTTCGTGACCTTCATGTCTCCTATCAAGGTCAGCGACTAGCATATCGCCTAATCTCATATCACGAGCTGATTACCATCATGACACGGCCCAGGCTCTGGCTCTGACGGTACCCACAGCATGCTCCACCGCCCTCGCCCACCCTAGGTTGAAGCCGTCACCAAAACAAAGTTCAAAAAACACATGTACTCACCCTCAAGATTCTCATGCGCGCGCCGTCCGCCTATCTCCCAACAACGAAGTGGACACCCTCCTGTGAAGACAAACTCTGCTTGATTAGGCTTCAGTGACATTGACTCCACCCCCCCACCGCCCATAACAAGGCATCGAGACTCCCTCATGTACCTCTGTAAATCGTGCTCACGCAGAAACAGAGTTTTTCAGTTGTTGATACAGTATCATCGTCACCACACAACAGGTGAATCACCTCCATGCCAACATGGCCAACAATCGTAGAGCCAATAAAGCCCCATGATATCGCATGCCCCCACTGAACTTAATCTGTCAGTTAAACCACGGCACCAACCCCCCTTCACTCCCCGGCATCCCAAACCTCTCCCCCGGCACAACCATCGGCACGGGCACAACCTTCTCAAACGCCTCCCAGCTGTCACCCCCGGCCAGTGATGACTCAACAGGGAAAATAACGCCACACTCCCTAAACACCCAACCCACCGGTCCGTCGTTAGCCATGGTCTTTCCTTAACCCAGTCCATCTCCCCATCAACAAAACACACCCCTCAAGCCACCCCCCCAACAAAGCACGGTCACTTCCCCCTGAGAAAACCCAAAACACAAAGCACGTACCAGTTCCGACAGTTCAGTCTCACCCCACCGCCAACCTTCTCCCTCGTCAGCCGCCCCCTACCATCACCACGTTAGTCACACGCACCCACGACAGCGACACCCACATCCAGCCATATGCTCCCAAACTTACCAAGCACTCTCCGAAAGGTTCCCACTTCCCAGATACACCCACCCACGCCTCCCTCCCCCCCGGCCCACAAACGCCACCTTGGAATGCATTACGACTCCCTCCCTCCTCGATCGACAGTCACGCAGCACCTCCCTCGGAAAGCCCGACGCCTTCCACCACTTTTCCTGAAAGCATATCGTTCCGGCGCCCTAATCCACAATGTCAGCAGTCACGCGAAGCATCCGAAAACCTTCGACATGCAGCCACGTACGTCTCTCCCTCCCTTGCTGGTCACAATCGTCCTCTCCGAAGGGTAGTACACCCTGACATGATCCAACACGTCATCGTCAGACACTTTCTTGTGCGCCGGGGTTCGGGTTGATAATTCCTTGAGGCCAGAGTCGCCTGTGTGTTTGTCAGTAACCTTGGGACGACCCGTAATCCAAACAAAACAAGTCGTCATCGTTGCCGTCGTTGTCGTCGTTGTCGTGATGAATGTATCATGAGGCAAGTCGACCTACCTTGACAGGCGTAATAGAGCGAGTTGATCACGTTCCTATTCACAGAACCGAGCGAAGAGCACTGCACAATCTTCATTAGATCTTCATCTCGGTCTACAAGGTGGAAGGGGAGACGACATACCACGTAATCGAGCTCGATGGGGTCATTGGACGCGAGACCAAGAGCGGCGACTGCCCGACCGAGGCCAGGGTATCCTACATCAGACTGTTAGCCATCACCACCAACCTTGAGCCGCATCACCGATCATCGGCCATATAGATGGCCATCGCCAAACCTGGACGAGCAACACTCACCAGTCCTTTTCCAAGCCTCATCCGTGGTATGAGAGCCGACACTAGAAGCAGTTAGCTACCTATGCTATCATCCTTGATGATTTCCTCTTCTTTTTCTAAAAGGAATCATTTTTTGCTTCGATGATGTGGTAAAAAGACTAGGTAGAAAGCGCAATGTACGAGTGAAAGAGTGTGAATGTTGAACAGAACGTAAGCAATACTGTTTCCTGATCCCTGAATATAACCTCAAACTGGGGGGGTGATGCAACCGGAACTTGTGAACGAGGAAAACACATCCCAAATTGCTGGCCAGCCTGCTTCCCGATGGCTTTCCCAGAGTCTACACATCCACTCTGGCGTCCACTTGGGCACCTCCCCAATTTCCTTTACTCTCTCAGCCCTTTCTATCTCTCAATCACCACCAGCTCTCTCCATTCATTTTGTTTTTCTCCGCCCATGTGGCCGCTTGGCACAGGAGTCCATGTCTCCATCTTCAGGCCAGACAAGTGTTGCCTGTGACGTAACAAGTGATCGCCGGGTAGAAGAAGATAGTGAAACGATAAGAGGTTACAAGACGGGCGCGAGAAGAATAACAAGAGCAAAAAAGAAGCGAGGAATCAACAACAAGCCCCCGTCTTTACTCCCAAGACTACACTTGTCGTGTACCACTTGGCCTTCCACAAACTGCCAGTCATCATGACCCGGCATTCTCATGCTGTCATGGGAAAAACAAAACCTCCGGAAGCTGTCTCCCACCAGGTAGCTTACCCAGCCAACCAGCTGGAAGACATATGCAATGCTTCAAGACGGAAACTACCCGCAATGCAAAAAAAAAAAAAAAAAAGGCTGACAAAAACACAGATACAAAACCAGGTACTCACATGGTATGAACAAAGCCATATCTCCTCGTCTCCGAAAAGTCATAGCTCCGCAAGCTATTGATCAACAACGGATCAACCCCCTGAGCCATCAGAAAATACACCAGATCCTCGCCAAAGGAGCCGAGCCCGCCCCCCTGAACCGCGTCTCTCTCCTCCGTGTTCTTGAACTTGGGGAGGTCAATAAGGAAGACCATCTACGAAACCCGTGTTAGTAACCACATGATCCGACTATACAGCCAGGTGGTTCAGAAACAGGACATGACGACCCCAAAACACACAATCACATCAACTCTTACATTCTCCATCGTCCCCGTCTCCCCCCAGTCATACGACATGAAATTCCCCGTCGGAACCACAACCCTCAAATAACCCTCATACTTGAGCAGCATCAGCTTCGAATGCATCGCACCCACAGCCTGCATGGCCGGAAAACAAAACCGGATCCTGCTCTTTGGGACATTATTCCTCATCTCGTTCTTCTAAATAATCATATCCTGGTAAGTATGAACGGGGTCCTGGTCCATTCCGGTGTGTGTGGGGATATATATATGTATGTATATATCTTACCTGCGCCTCACTCTTCGCATAAGCAATCAGATACAGCTTAGTCCTTGAGATATCAATCTTGGACAGCATCCAATCCTCATCCCACTGAAACGAGCTGATAACGGCCAGCTCGAGAATATCCTTCTGAAGGACTTCTTCAATCTTGACATCGTCGCCAGCCCGCGGGTAGCTTGGGTAGATCCAAGTCTTCTTGATGACGCCGCGGGGATATGGGAGGGTTTGAACTTGATGGCTGGTCGGAGATGACCTGGGTGGAAGGATACGGTTGGAATTACTGTGAGTGCTGTCACTGACTGATTTTTCGACTGCATTTGCTAACCCCCATGTGCTCACATGACTGCCCCCTGAGCTATCCATCCCTCTTGAACTGGCCTTGACTGCTGGAGATAAAGAGCCAGTATCGTTCTTATCCCCTCGACCCTTGCTGTGGGAAAAAATCCCCTCGTCACCCAACATTCTCGGAATCTGAGTCGACCGGGTGTCCAAACTGGAATACGGAGCCGGCGCCTCAAGTGATGCCTTTCTCTTCCTCTGGGCAAGTCGAGCAAGTCTTTCCTCCTCCATCTTCTTCCTGTCCAACCCGAGCGCCGAGAGGCCCGTTGCTAACGCCTGAGAGGCCGTAGGAGTATCAGATTGCTGTGAGGCAGAAGTCGAGGTCGTCATGACTGCGGGGACAGGCTGGTCCCGGTCCTGGGTATCCTCACCACCAGGTCGACTTGGTCCAGCAGTGTCCCCGGCGGCTGGTGACTCATCATCAAGGGTCAGGTCGATGGTCTCGTGTTTCCTTGGAGTATTGGTACGTCGCGAACCTGGGTCCTGGCCGAGGGAGAGAGCGATGGCGATGCGAAGGTCCTCATCCTCGGAGTCGCTCCCGCCGAGGTCGATGACGTGCCTTTCTTCCGACATGTTCGGTGTGGCAGAAGTGAGAGGGGAAAAGGAGGATTAAAAGGGAAGAAGATGAGAGGCTGGAAACTTCTCAAGTATATGCTTTTTTTTTTTTTTTTTGGTTTGTGAGTTGCGTGGCGATACAGTGTGCTCCGGTGTAAAGTAAAGGTTCGGGGATGAAGTCAATAGGTACCGGGTAGGTGAAATATCTCGCTGGCGGTCGCGATGTAACTGCTTTCCCTCTCAAATGTGAGCAGCCGAGTCGTAAATGCTAACACACCGACTCCAGTGTCCTTTTCGTCAACACTGCAGCTTGAATGAGGTCGAGGTTCAGACTTGCAAAGAAAAACAAAGGTCTAATTGGGCTTGGGAATGAGTTTGAGGCTCACTGAGTATCTGTGGTTGCTTTGTCCTCACGTCCCTCAATGTGGGGGGCTGTTTCCTTTTTGGGAGGGGAAGATGTTTGGCATGTGTGACGTGGATCGCGATTCAGTAAATCGAGGCAGGGACAACTGGCAGGGGAACAAACGACGCGCGCTCACGTGACCTTCCCCGACATATCACCCGCTCAAGAAAACAGAGAGGGAAGAAGGTGTGTCACCAACGGTCATTTTGGCGTTGCAATCAGAATCTCTTCCGAGAACAGAAAATATTGTTGAGTCTCAAACTCAAGAGGTGGGCTTACGAGGCTGAACTTTGGCTACACCGTTTTACACCCTATGGCCAGCAGTCAGGACTGCCGACATCTTGAACTAGCCTTCAAGACAGCTGTCAATGTCACAAACTCCAATTCTCTATAATCTAATCTCACCGGGAACTAGCATCGCCTCATTTTACGTGTCAGCCTTCTGTTCCCATATGTAATAACCCTAACTCTGAAGAACCCCCTTGTTCTCAGAGACAAGCAGTATAAAAATCGAGGAGAAGCGAGCAAGGATGTGTGAATATATGGAGTATCACCAACCAAACACCCATCATAATCCATCAAACATCAATACATACAACATCAGGGTATCTCCAATAACTCTAGCCCGCCACCATAACCAAGCAACAATACTCCAGCCTTGCTACAAGTCAAACAACACCAAAATCCACCGTCATCAGCACTTCTTTTTACTCTCACCGTGTACAAAATATCATATCCTATCCCTTTCCCAACCCATCCCATCCAATCCCATCTTGTCATCATATCCATTATTCATTTCCAATCCCAAAACCAACCACCATCTCCTCCCCCCATCACCTAAAACTCTTAAAATTCTTATGCGCCAACGGACTCGTAATCCCCAAGCCCGACCCCCCTCCTCCCACCCGCACATGCCCATGCCCATGATAACGCCCCCTTTCCCTGTCCCCCTCCCTTTCCCTAACCCTCCCTCCACCACCACCCCTCACCGGATGCCCAGTCGTAACATTCGCACAAAACGAACAAATGTAAATTGACGTCTCCGTCGCGTTCACACACCGTTCATGCAAGTTCATCTCACACGATTGACTGCCTCCATGTTAGCAACCCACACACCCTTTCATCATCACATAAAATCTTCAAAAGGAACAAACATACCACTGAACCAACAGCTCATTCCTCCCCACCTCCCCCCTCCCACAAACGCACCTCATCCCCCCTCCCCTCTCCCCCGTCGGCGTCGGCAGACTCCCCTCCGTCATGCTAGCCGGACTCAAGCTACTATTATTATAACTCCCCCTGTAACCCCCCTGCTGATGATTCCCAAAACTCGCACTCCCCGACCCCCCCACCCCCGAAAAGGACCTCCTCACCTTTGGCGCAGAACTCGGCGGCCACTGCCCGCTCCGCTGCCTTGCCTCCCTGACCTTTTGCAGCTCACTGATCGCGTCCCCGGCCACTTTTCCCGTGGGCGTGAGGTCATTCACATTCACCACCGTCTCCCCATCGCTATCATCATCCTGGTGTTGGAAGCTAGTGCTGTACGACGAGCCGGTATGAGACGCCCGGTGAAAAGGATGGACAATCGAGGGTTTTACCGGATCTGGGAGCGCAAAAGAGGTGTTTCTGCTAGGAATGATAATCGGGCCTTCGTCATCGGTAGAGGAAGAGTCATCTTCCTCGTCGGAGGGAGTCCACCTCCTACGTTGGCTGCCGTCTTGGGAGCCCTGGCGCTTTTTTGCACTGGTTGGCTCTTCTGTTTCTACAACGACTGTGGTTTCCACTCTTGCTCTGCCGTTGGCATCAATGGTGAACTTCGCCTGGGTTCGCATTCTTGGACCCGAGGTCTCTGGGATGGATGTCAAGCTGGACAGTCGGGAGTGTTGCTGGCTTTTCAGGGGAGATGTCCTTCCACTTGGACGGGAAGGTTGGCTTATAATCGGCCGGTTGGCACCTACGCCAGCGTTGCTCACCAGTTGTGATTGTGGACGAGGAGCTGGGGCAAGAGTGGGCAGCGCTGGTCGGCTCGACTGCTTCTTCCCTCTATTTTCGCTGAAGCTTCGCGAGAGGCCAGGTCGTCCAACCGACTTGATTGGTGAGCTAGCCAGAGCTCGGTCTGGTCTGCTTGAAGGCACGGTCCTCGTGCTTGACGAACGACGAAGCTCGCCTCGGGATGTTGTCACTATTCTTTGCGCTGATGGTGCCCTGCTCGTTGGCTGGACAAAGTCTTGACTCGTTTGAGGGCGAGGTGCGATAGGGACTTGCATAGACTGGTCATGAGAGATGACATCCATGTTGGCTGACTGCGGCCGGCTGAAGATGAGCCCGGGGTTTACCGCGCCGCCGCTACTGTTCATTCCAAAGTTGTCTTCCATGGTCGTGGAATAATCAACCGCGAACATGGCTTGTTCGGGGGCTGAAGTTACGAGGGCAGGCATGGGCGCTTGTGATATAAGGGGAGCTTGGTGATTTCCAGTAGTAACATGACCGTTTTCATGACCGACCATGGCGTCCTGTGCCTGCATCAGATTGGCATTTGCCCAGTCGACTGGGGTGAGAGGTTGATGTGTCTGGTTTTGGAACATATCGCCACCATTGGCGCCATTGGCACTGAAATCAACTTCCATCCCTCCCATGTTGGGATCCTGGTCCCAAAACGACCGCTGTGGTGCATATCCTGGTGCTGATAAGGGATAAGAAAACATGTCGCCAGTGTTGGTCACGAAGTTGCCCATTTGTGGCTGGGCAGTCGCCAAAAAGTCTGGGTGGCCGTAGCCCTGATCATTCTGCATGGCGGACGTATCGAGTTTGGGAGCGAGTTTCCGTTCACCCTTCCGGCCAGAGGGCGGCGGGGTTGCTGTTTGTCCCTGAGATTGCTCAACCACTGTTCCACGCTGCACCTTCTTTGAAGTCCTCTCAGCAGTATCTGAATTTCGGCTGGCGGGAGTTAACTGTTCAAAGGTTGGGGTTGATAGTTGGCTCGGAGAGGATTGTAGAATCTCGGACAGTTCCACAGACGGTAGCTGCAAGTTGGTGGTGGGCGAAAACGTTTCCCCAGTAGACAACGTCCGTTTGCGGGCCGAACCAAGGTATGGGGTTGCTGGACCAAAATCGGGAAAGGGATGCTGGCTGCCCCTCAGGTTCCCCGGGGTCGAGTTGAAGACGGAGTAATCCTCGGCAAAATGAGGAGTCCAGCCTCCAGGCTCGTCGAATCGTCCCGCGTTGTTCTTTGGTGTTTCGAAACGAGGACTCGGGAAAATCGATAATGTTGGTGTTTGTTTAGGGGTGGGCGGCTGAGCGTCTGGGTCGCCAAAGCTGCAGACACCTGAGATCAGCACGGAAACATACATACCTTCCACCGACTCAAGGGAGGGAGTATGGGAGCGCACCTGGAAACTGGCTGATCCCCACTCATAGCAGATTCAAATTTCTCTCAATTGTTTTTTCATGGGCCGAGCGCTCTAGTAAGAATCCGCCGGCGTTGCTGCGGACGTCCAAGGTGCTCCGGGTAGAGTGGCAATATAGGCAGATTCGAGATGGAGAGGCTCTTGTTGGACGAGCGGGAAGGAAGGATAGGTATGCGGGACACGGGATAGATGATACGGCGTGTATTCGTCAATTTATCAGGGCCCAATGTCCATGTTCATAAGGGGTATCCAAGCGTCGTCGACATTCGTTTCGTAAGCAAAGTAAACATTAAAATCTGGCATCCCAGGGGCACGGTCAGTAAACAGCTTTTCGAGGTTGTCTGCGCGGGGCCAAAGAGACATCAAGGCTTGTTGTAAGGAAACGGGGCCAAGCTACCAAGCAGTTCTGAGCATAACCGTCAATCGTCAAAGAGGAGGGAAACGAAACAGGAGCAAGAAACCCTTGACAAGCCCGGTGAAGGAGCACAGCGCGGATGTATCTCTTTCCCAATCCCTGGGGGCCGGGAAATGCAAAAGCCTGGTTGGAACAAAATGTACCGAGATATATTATTGTCGGGTCTGTGCTGAGGGCGAGTGGATTTGCTTGCGAGGGCCCTGGAAGCCCTGGTTGGCGGCACGGGTTGCCCCCTGCTCACGTTCACAGCAGCGATCAACTGAGCTCTTTTCAAGAGAGACTCTGGCGATACTCGCTGGGACGGCGGCAATTCAGACAAACACCAGCAGTCTGCGACACAAGACGTACTCTGTGCCTCAAAGGTTGCGTGCGAGGTTGGACCGGGGCGGTAGCTAACTGAGAGGTCAGTCAGTACATAGATCGGTGTGCAGTTCAGCAAGCCATCAGACAGTGGGGGTACAGGATGGATAGCCTGAATGTCGAGGGAAGGTGCTGCAGTGCATCAGGCATGCAAGCCTCCAATATCCAATTATCAGGTACCCGAGCCCTCGATGAGACGAAGTCTTCCCCGCTCCGGCTTTAGTGCCGACATGCTTGCTGCAGTCCGAGGCCGAGACTGCGCATCGGCAGGCTGGCCACTGCATGTGTAGAAATTAGAGAGGGCGGTGGAATTCGTCCTTCGGTCTGCATGTCAGAGGGGGTACCCAATTCGTCAGGACTGATCTGGATATCGAATCCGATACCTATTCGATCGACATCACCGGAAGGAGAAAAAGAGGCACACAGATATCTGATACGGCAACATGCACGATATCAAGCCAAATGAGTCAATTGAGAAAGGACCCCTGTCGGCAGCCTGCTTGGAAGTGGGCTTCTGGCTGAAGTTGGTGGTGAACAAGAAGGTCAACCCCCGCAGGTCAGCAGCTGGAGACATGGGCAGGGTGGAGATCACAGCCTAGGCACGTGGTGGGGTACCTCTTCGATCATCGATCTTCTTTTCCCCATCTTCATGAGTCTTGCTATTCAACAGGTCAAACATCAAATAACTCTGATCTCATTGCAGCAATCGAAAGATTTCGGCCAAACTCCTCCAAAAGAGAGAAAGCATAGTCCCAACAGCGCCCGCAGACGCAGCCGGCAAAGAACATTCCCAACCCTGGACTCGTGATCGTCTTTGCTTCCCAACCATGAGCCCCCCAAAAAGGAGAGACCAATCCAATCAATTGACATCCCATGACAATCCAGTGGCAATCGCTGGGTTCCTGCATTGGTATTTGCAGCTGCAAAAATCGGCGCATAATCGGTGCTGTCACTGCTGTACCTGGAAAACACACCCACCACCACCGCAGCTCAAGCCTCACTGAGCAGCAAGCGGTAATTAAACACTACCCCCAGGTTTCCAAACTCTGTCCGACTCTGGTTCTCTCAATTACTTTCTTCTCCCACTTGGAAATCCCACCCGTCCCTGACGTCGTCAAGTTCATGCAAAACCTAAAAATATACCTCCTCACCAGCCGAGACCACCCACATGGTAACTTATCCCCTCCATCAAATCCATCAATTACTGCAACCTCAAGAGGCTGATGAAACAACTTCAACAAAAACTCCCAGTTTTAGACTGTCATCCCAATCCCCACATCGACTGGACAGGAGCTCGTCCCAAACCTCACCAACAGCAACAGCTTCGTGCATCAGGAGCACACACCACACCCCCCATTCTTGAACCTCCCTCAAGCTCGGGCTTGTGAACCACTGATTGGCAGGGCAACCGAACCAGTTAAAACATTCAATCCCTCCCATCCATTCATCCCTTTTCCCCAATCCAATCAATCATCCCATCTTATCCCCCCTCGTCTTCTTTCTTACAGCGAAAGAATCAAGAATTGAACACTCCAACCAAACCGGGATAAATCCTCTTTCCAGTAAGGCGCCCCTCGCCGCCAAGAAGGCTGAAATCTGCAACCACTTTAGATCCCTGTCCGCCCTACCACCCACCACCCTAACCCTGTCCCGCTAGTACACTATCCTTTTCCCTCTTCAACAACCCTGGGCGGTTATCCAACCACCACCACGCAATCATCAGCCTCACAGAGAAGCAGCACGTCATCTCGCTGCTCTGTCGCATGAATTCCACAAAATGAAACTGCTACCTACCATCTTGCTCTCTTTTTATCATCCCGCATTGTGTGTGCGACAGTTCATCCGATGAGAAAAATCAACGAGAAATGATCCCAACCGTTAAGGTTCCCCGCAATGGTTTTTCCTGTATCCGAGCAGGGTTCCCTTGACAAGGGAAGCAAAAGAGAGAGAGGATGGGATGGGATGGGATGGGATGGATCGCATGAATTCACACCCGCTCAACCACACAATAATCGTGATGACCTGCGTGTGGCGATGAACCGCTTTATGCCGCTGTCGCTACCCATATTTTCCGATCTTGATCTCCTCATGCCCACCCACTGGAAAAGCATATGTGAAATGCCAATCAACATCTAGACAGTAGTAATCCTCGGTTCAGCGGTTATGCTGGCACGGGAATACCACCACCACCACCGCCGCCACCACAATATCCCAAACCAAGGACTCACCAATCCTGGAAAAGCAACGTAGGATATCGCCGAGCAAAACAGAACAACACACATATGAAAAATCAAGGCAAGAAAAAAAAGATCAATTGCTATGCAACAACCACTTCCCCTCCCTGATTCCTCCTCTTCCCCCCCCCTTTCATCGATCACCCCTCCAACACCAAAATCCCAATGTGATAATCCTCCTCTTTTCCACCATCCATCCAAAAAAGGGGTATCTAAACTACGTTCCAAAAGGACACTTTCTCCATGCCCACCATCATATACTACCTTCTGCAAAAGAAAGAAGACAAAAAACTATCCTGATTAAAATATCAAAACGCTCAAAAAGCCAAAAAGAACAAGAAACGGATGAACCAGCCATACGAAACAAGGAGAGACAGGAAATCAAAAAAGCCAAAAAGAAAAAAAAGGAAAAAAACGAATAATGTGCAAAGAATTGAAGTTGCGGTCGTCCAAGAGTGGAGAGGGGATGTGAGAGAAAAAGACAGGAAGGATATTTTCTTGTGGTTGGTTGGTAGACAGTAGTTGATCCAAGAAGAAATTAAACCCTTTATAAAAGGGAAAAAAGAGAGAGAGAGAGAAAAAACGGCATCCACTTCGACCATACGTCCTGAGAGAGAGAGAGAGAGTGAGAGAGAAAAATCATGCCATGCTCCATGCCTGTCTATAACCTTGCTCCAAGTAGTGAAATTGTACCCAAAAAAAGAAATGATTTCATCATCATCATCTGGCAAAGAAATGAAATAATGATCTGATCAAATTTTGGTATCGAGGGTCATAACGGCATTCATAGCGATAGTGAGTAAGGAAACCTAGCGGCCAGTAACGTCTAGATCATGTTCGCAAAGCCGTCCATGGGAGCCATGGGAGGGATGGGGCTCATGATGGCTGTTCTGGGAGGCTGCGGAGGAGCTGACGTCGGGTGGAGCTGGAGGTGAGGTGGGAGGTGTCGGTGGAAGTGACGGACCGGCGGAGGCTGCAGCTGGATGACTGGCTGCGGTGGAGGATGGCTCTGCTGATGCTGATTGTATTGTTGGTGCTGCTGCGACGGCATAGTATGCGGCTGCTGCCCCTGAGGCTGCTGCTGGTGCTGCGTAGGAGGCGGGGGAGGAGGACCATGTGGCGGGTGTTGGCTTTGAACTGGGGTTGGTGTCTGTCTCTGGTCCAGAGCCTGTTCCAGAGCCTGTTGAGTCTGGTGCTGAGGCTGCGACTGAAGGGGAGCGGGAGCAGGAGTGTTTGTCGTTGACACCTGTGGTGTCATTTGGGGCGTCAACGGATTGGTTGCCGGCTTTGCCATGTTGGTGGCCGCCAGAGCACGGGTATTGCTGCTCTCCCTTCTGCGCTTAGGTGCGTCCTTGATCTTTGGGTGCGTGTGGCACTTGTAGGCATGTCTAAACCAGGTCGTTCCCTTTTTCTTGCTGCTCACCAATGCAATCCATTCGTTGCAGCTGCCGCACAGTCCTTCCCAGACATCAGGGTTACCATCCATGCGCCTCGTGTCTTGAGGCTCCTGGAATGGGCTACCCGTTGCGGCACTGATGCCATGAGTAAAGCTCTTGTCGTACCAGAAAGCAGAGTTCTTCAGGACAAGCCACCTTCCAGGCTTACAAATGCCGCACCATCCTTCCCGCTTGTTACCATGTCCGCGAACCCATCTTGGGGTGTACAAGTCACCCTCAAACCTCAGCTCTTGCTCGTGGGGGATCAAGTCTGGGTCGGATGGGTTCATATCTTCGGGCGGTGGAGGAATCTGCTCCTCCTGAAGAGAAGCATACAGATCAGGGGGGTCAGAAAGGTCAGCGTAGTGGCTGTGGAGAGAGTGGGGGTCGGCATTGCTTTGAAGCATGCGGAATAGTCCATGTGAGAGCAGGGGGGGCGCGTTCTCAAACTGATGAGGATGGTGGTGATGCGTGTCATGGTGGAAGACATGAGACGGAAGTTGCGTGGGCAGAAGCATGCTGTTTCTCTGGAATGCCGGTGCATTGCTCATCAGATAGGGGTGCTGCTGCGCTGCCTGGAGGTTGCCGTAGTTCAAGGGGAGGGGGCCGTGTCCGATAGTAGGTGACGAGTGGCGAGACGACATCCGATTGTGCTGGTTGAAAACGTCATGAGGGTGATACACAAAGGGGGAAGGTCTCCGATTCGCCGTCCCGTATGAACCAGTCGACCACCTCTTGTTCCTGGCGCTTTCCACTGAGTAAGGGGCCGCGCGAACTCCAGGTCGTGGAGAAGGCGATGCGCGCCCTCTGCTTTGAGTTCTAACCAACTCTGACCGGCTCTGAGGTGTCATGCGTGGGGAAGCTACAGGAGACAGTTGCGTAGATGAAATCATCGAGTTTCGGTTGGACGGCGGCGGGTACTCAGACGAGAAGGAAGGCGCTTCGGAGAGGGTCGTGGAGAAATCCTCGTAGGGAGGCATTTCTGACATGCCGCCCGACGTGGACACGGTAAAAGACGACCCAGACATTCTGCGAGGGTTCAACCCATGCTCAAAGTTGTTCGAGTCGCCTTCCACCTGTTGACCAGGATACCTGAGGTCAATAATGGGATTCGCCTCGTCAGTGGTGTAAGCCTGCCCAATGTTCATCTCGGGCTCCAACCCATGAATCTCGAAATGGTCATCGCAAGGCTTTTGCGGCCACGAATCTGAGGGGATGGTTAGCCCCTCGAAGCCGCCATAGCCTCCTCTGCTAAAACACTCACTGCTCTCCAATGTAGTCGCCGGATAGAAGTCCTGGTGCATGGAGATAGGTCTCGACGACATGCCATCGCTAGGTGTCTGCTGCATTTGCAAAGATGACGAGTCCCAAGCTGGCAGACCCTCGTACGGCTCCGCCACGCAGTACGAGAAGCCTTCGTGAATAGTCGCAGGCCTGGGTCTCATTCCCTGGGATGTCGGTGTTGTCCACATTCCCTGCGGTGCCGTCATCGCGTCGGTCTTTGGAGGCACGGTGCCACCGTTCATGGTGACGACAGGTGTAGGATGGGGCGATGTGATCTCTCTGCCAAACTGGCTCTCGGGATTTTCGAAGTTGAACGCTGGTACTTGGATTTGCTGCCGTCTATAGCATACATGTAAGTTCCAGTGTCCCTGGTTTAGGGTAGAGTCAAGCAACGGGGATGGCGTACAATTGGGATGAATCCATAGCAAAACGGTTCTGATTTGGAAAATAGAAAAGTGTGTGGTTAATCTAAGATTTACCGGAAGCTGAGAGTAGCCAACCATCCAAAGGTTAGCATGAATGCTCGAGCGGAAGGAACCCTGGCAGTCGAGGGGGCCCCGCTTGTGTATCATGGGATGTTCACAAGCCGTCCTTTGCAACTTACTAGGAACTATAACACGCTTAAGGGCCCGGTCCAGAGCATGAGATAGAGTCGGGTCAACCAAATGGAGAATGTAGGATAAGTAGCAGTTGTCGTGACCGTTGGCGTCGGTGTTGGTGTGTCGAATCAAGAGTGATATTCAGATTGGGGTTGTATCGGTAACGAAGGAGTGAATAGACTGGACGGTTGCTTTCGAGTTGGATCTCGGAGATAGCAGGTAAAGAATGTAAAGCCTCGCGTTGGGGCCGGGTGTGTGTCAAGATGATGAAAAGTGATACGAGACAAGGAGTGACTGATCGCGGTGTCGGGTGCTGGTTAAGGAGCGTGGTGAGTTGGGTGGAAAGGCAACTCGTCAAACCGTCGGTTCACACTGGCGTCCGTCCGGAGGCGGGAAAGAGAGCCAGCTCTTGGTATTATAGACCAGAGGCCGATATAAGGGGGTGCGAAAAATAATCGTTAAAGGAGCGACTGAGAAGAGGGAAGAGAGGGAACCAGTGTGAACACTTTTGGGGGGTGGGACGACGCGGAAAGAGGGAAAAAGAAGGCCGGATGGCGGGGGCGTCGAAGGACCCTGGGGGTATATGAGAGAAAAAAAAAGTACTTGTGAACCAAGAAGGCCTGCCCGAGGGGACGGTGGAGGGGGAGGGGCCTATAGCTCAGCACGGTCAAGCTCGGAACGTCGGTAGGAGCTAAGCCGGATTTTCCTGATACAAACCTGACCTGTGTCTGTGGATGTCGAGGAAAGGTGGTGTGCGAGAATCTGCTTGGCCTGCCCCAGAGGACGACGAGCAAGGATCATGAGGGGCAGGGTGGGCAGCGATGGACAGGGGGGGTCGGGCAGGGTTACATCTGTTCATCGATGACGGAACATAAGGAGGCGTGGGTGAGGATGAGGGAAGGATGGCTTGAACCAGGGATTGGGTTCAGAACATTCCTTTCTCCATTGGGAAAGAAGGGGAACCTGGACAAAACACCGAAGCCACCAGATGCGAACTGGGGCCTGGGCAGCGAGGATATGAAGCCAGGAGACAACGGCCGGCAGAAGAAGGCCGGGAAGGGAATATCGAGACGAGCAGCCGGACGTTGGTCAACAGAATGAGCGTAGTCTGTTCCTAGAGGAGACAGATGATGGAGGGGTGATATCCACTTGGACAAGACAAAGGGGGTGACAGGGCACACAAGGCTATTCCAGCCTGGGACTCGGCCCTGTGGAGGCTGAGGCTGGACAGGGCCATGGGGAAGATGCCGAGGAGGTGGCTTGTCTCAGCACCATGCCCTGAGAGCGAGCGTTGAGGTAGCAACGTCGAGATATCCCGTCGGTCGAGAGAATGGAGTTGTTGGGGGTCGAAATCAAAAAGGAAAATAGAATCAAGAGAAAACAACGAATGGCAGGGTGTGGTCTTGGGTGACATCTTGGTCAGACCCCATAGCGCACCCGCTGTCGAGGCCAAACAGTGCGGGAGCAGCTCACGGACCGAGGGCTGACCATCTCACGATGATTGTTTGACAGGCAACCTGGCACAGCAAGTTGCGATTCTGCACCGAAAATCCGGTGTGGGCTACTCGCAATGTGAGTTGCAGTAGCCGCTGTGAGCGTGAGAGGAAACCGATTCGCAACCTGGCCCAGGATCCCCAGTGGAGATCATGGCAGAGCATGTTTGGCAAGACCACATCGAGCAACGGGCGCCGTTTTGGCATCGGCGATCCGGATCTCAAGTTTCTGACTTTTTCTGGGGGGTTTCTCTCCTGTCTTTGCCTGGTGCGTAGATCGAGACCCGGCCGCGTGTCCGTGAGGTGGCCTCGAGGCGGCGCACCACACCGGACGACATACCGACTGACTGTTGGTACCCCAAAGCACTGTGTCTATCGTGCCAGATAATGGTTGTGGTGTAATAACAAGGCGTGTGATCCTGTTGGTCAACAAGTCGAAGGCTCCCAGTCTTCTAGATGCCGCTGGCAGACATCAGTCAACTACATGTTCCATCCCCGACATCTGATAACCAGACCTGCGGGCGTGAGTGGCCGGCGTGACGGGTCGGGGGGCGGCAGTCAGTCGCAAGCACGGCCAGTTCGACCGTGCACAGAGATGGAATCTGGAGAAAAGTTTCTTCATTGGCAGGCCCAGGCCATGGGTGAGGGTATTTCCAGCTGTTGGCAAACAACCTGGAAATCAGCGATTCGACAACGGGCAGAGGCGAATGCGAGGGTTTGGGCAGTTTTGATGAAGCTGGTAGCGAATCTGCAAGTGCTCTCGATGTTTTGGATCCGTCGAGAAACATCCGTTTAGCCTCAGTGGTAGGTTGGGATATCGCAGTGTTGAGTGATGGTCAAGACATGTCGTTGGAAGAGACGCGACTGGACGCCCTCGAGCACGGGGCAACAGGTTTGAGGTTGGCGTTGCAGTGGGTCCAGCCCGCGTCCTGATTCGCTGCTGAGGGTAATCGACATCAGGGATCCCTGTCTAAGCAGGGGCCTCTAGCTGTCTCAGATCTGTCGCAGACATCGACCCATGTCACGCTATGAGTCCTGAGTCGATTGAAGTCTCCGCCTTGTTGTTCGAGTTCGTTCAACGGTCATCAACGACTTCTTTCTTTCTTCTTTCTTTCTGATGAGATCCGCCCAGATCGTTATCCTCCGAATGTTGCGTGACTGGGGACCCGTTGCCGAGTCCCGCGCTCCGTAATTCCACCCTCCAACCACGCCAACCCCGCAACTGGCGCCAGTTCGGCCTTGTCGCTCTCATCAAACTATTTCGGTTCGGCAGCCTCCCGTCTTTGCATCGCATGGTCGATATTAATTATAGAAAGGTCTGTGGACTGCAGATGACAGATATCTCCACAGCCACCTCCAAACACGTCTCCCCCCTCTGCCCGCCCAGTGTTTGACAGTGTATGGAGTAAGAAAGGTGATACGAAGGATGGCTGATCGAGTGGATCTCGAACCATAAAACTTCTCCTGGTGTGTTTCTCTGTCGTCACTTCAGTTGCCCGTTCCTGAACAAGATCTACTTGGCCTTGTTTGGAACTCATGGCATTTTCCTTCTTTCTCGTCCTCCATGGAGTATTCTCATCAGTGGTAGCGGTTATTCTCTTGCTGCAGTGCTCCTTCATACCCCGAGGCAACCATTTTGTTTCCCCCAATCCAGCCTGCAGACCCAGTCTCCCCATCTTTTGTTCGAAACTAACCGACTTTGCCACGCCGCTCGGCCGGTCGTTGTTCATGCTGTCCATCTTGCCCGTCTCTTGGGAGCTGATCTCTGATTGCCTGGGCTCTGCCCTCCACGTCCGCGGTGGCGTCTTCGTCTCTTAGTATCCTGTCTTAAGGCTCGAATGGTCAAGGGTGGCCTGGCGTGATATTCATAGTAATAATCATTTTGGCTTATAGGGCTGTCTGTAGCACATACACACAGACGAGATGGTCCCTATTACTAACGTCGTCCGACCAAGCTTTGGCCCACTAGCTGGACCACAACCGGCAGTCATTCTAGCAAGGGACGAATACATCGGCCTTGTGCGGGGGAGAAAGGCCAGGCCAGAGCTGTGCCTCTCTTTGCCCCCCTCTTCCTTGTGCCTGACAGGCGGTCCCGTACCTGCGTCTTCCCCAATCTGCCCGTCTCACCCGCGGGACTGCTGGGCCGCCATGGATCAATCTACTCATGACACCTCGATCAGTGATTTCCAGAATAACCAATGTCACCATTCAAGAAGTCACTTTCCGGGGACCTTGTATCTCACGGACCACGGACGATGGATTCCGCCAACGTCTTTATCATACCCTGGCACCCGTCACCTTGTCAGGTTGAATCCCCGACGCTCAGACGCTAGTGTTTCTTCTACAGACCTTCGATGACATGTTCCACACAGGGATGCCCACCTCTACATCAAAGTTGCTATTCCGGCGAGTCCGCACTCTCGCTTTTTCTTGTCTCCAATAGCCATCCCACCTCGGGGTCCGGTCGGTAGGTGAGCGCGGTATGTGCTCTACACGCACATAAGTGGGTGCCTTGGGGGCTGCTCACTTGACAACTTTTGCATAACAAAGTCATCCCGTTTGGGAAATTATTTCGCCTTTCAACTGTCCGTCCGCGGCCCATAACTCGGCTCTTATGGAGATCGCTTCACCAATGACGATGTGATCCTCCCGTCAGAAGACCAGACACGAAAGAGGCCGCCTGCTGTCTCTGCCCTCTTTCTTCTCAGAACATACACGTATCTGATGTCGTGGGATTACGTGGACGAGCCTTACAGGCGTGGGGTCTTCTTTTCTGCCACACCTATACGAGCAAGGCGTACACCTCATCTGAAATAGGAAGGCCATAACAGCCTCGATCGGCAAGTAAGCGAGTTCAAGGAAGGGTGTGTAAGGCAAAGCAAGGCACCCCATAGATATCGGACCAAGCCGTCGGTGCCGAGGGCCTGTGTAGATGGAGCGAGAGATGATCCAAGGTTCTCTACTGCCGGACATGATCCGCTCCGTTCTTCATCACATGGTTCGACCAGTTGCCAGGTCAAGTCGTCCTATGTCTGATGTGGACGGTTTTCCGTCCCGTTCAGTTGGTCAGGGCCGTCAGTTCCGTTCGGTTCTCATTTAGACGAGCACCAGCCCAACGAGGACTCTAGGGATGAGACAACACAAACGTAAGAATTGGATATGAGGGGTATATGTTATATTTCCTATCACAGCACAGCGGATACAGTCTACCCTCCGCCCAAAATCATGATCTGTCCTGAACTTACCAACTCAAATGAGCTTGGAAGGAAAACCGGGACGACAACCCGGTGTGTCATCTCATCCTCATTCTCGCCTCATTTAGAGGATCTGTCTAGAGGAATAACCCACAGTCATCTCTCCAACACAGCCTCAACTCACAGACATCAACCAGATTTTCCTAGCATGTAGGATTTGTTTGCGATTTTCATCACCAGTGCAAAAATGCAACTTAAAACCATCCCATCCTTCATTCACGACCAGATATTCCCCCCCTATGTGTACGTGTACTTTTGTCTGCCCAACATGGCAAAGGTATATTCAAATGGATTCAACACAACCCTTGATCATCGTAAGGCAAGAGACCCAAATCCACGGGCGCCCTCACCTCGTCCCAACCCCAGACGCATACGTATTCCACCCAGCATCTTCCAATGCCTCGTCGTACACGAACAACCGCACCGCAAAAGCTTGTACCAAATGGATTCACACTCTCTCCCGTCTACCTTACAAGCTGGCATCACCTCCCCGCCCTACACCTTGTCTATACATACACACACTTCCTTCCACAACCGATCCACGTTTCCCCCTGTCCAACTCGGCATAGATCATCCTACATGTCAAAAAACTAGGTCCCCGCAGATCAAAAGTATAATTTGTTTCCATTCCATTCCTATTCATATCGACCACGTGTTGTCCACCTAGGTACCGAAGTAAGCTCACCGAATCGCGGGAACATGGTCAGGATAAGGCCAGAAAATGTGGGAATATGAGACAGGCGGGAGAATCCTCTTGTGTTACCTCCCAGTGAGGACAGACATTAGAAGCTGAGAGGTATTCTTTCAAAACCCACATAGCTGTAGTGTCACACCGAATTTGACCGGACCGGAGTTGATGATGTAGAAAATGGTCGGTAATAGACATTTGAGCTTGTAAAATCGTGCAAGGTAAATAGATAGGTAAACTCAAAAACAATAAAACCAATTCTCATGTTCCAACACCAAACCACAAAAAGCCGAGCTACACAAGCCGTGTCTGTCATTGCAATCACCATAAGAAGAAACTTCACATATCACAGAACAAAACTTTAGCCAGCACAACATCATCTCATTGGACCCCATAAACTCATCAACCCCTTGCCCCTTCCTCATTCACTCTAACCCATCCCCCCCAATACACCCCACCCTAGCTCTCAGCTCCACCATATCACTTCTCCCCATTAATCCTCCTCCAAACCTCCCTCTCCGCCTCACTCAGCTTCTCTCCCGCAGCTTTAGCATACCCCATCACACTCCCCAACACACCCTGCTCCCCATTTTCCTCCCCTCCCCCAGGCCGATACCCCGAATCCGTCCTCTGTTGGTACCCCTGCCCACCACCAGTCTCGTAAGGGCTCGGGCCGGGCAACACCGCTGCTCCTGTCGTTGTAGCAGGTGTAAAAGCTGTCGAGGTTCCTCGCTGATTGTATGGCAGTTCTGGAGGGGGGATTGAGGACTGGGGAGGGGGTGGGTATGTTGGTGCTGCGGTAGTGGCTGGGGCGGCTGCTGGTTGAGGGGGAGCAGGACCGGTGGAGGAGGCTGGGAAGGAGGTTGGTTGAGGAAGATGGGGAACGGCGCCTGGTTGGGGTGGTGGTGGGCCGTTATTGGGAGCAGCTGAAGGGGGGAGAGAGGTTGTTTTCGTTGGTGTTGGCTGATCATTGTTTGGGGGGGTGGTTTGGGGGGTTATGCCTGAGGCTTTGGCGGGGTTGATGGGGGAGTTGGTGTGGAGGGGAATGGGGGGCATGGTTGCTGTTATTTGAAAGTGAGAGTGTGTGATGATGAGATTGGGTGAATTGGAGAGTGAAGTGTTAGAATCAAAAGGTCTTTGAAGTTGTACTCGAGGTTGCAGGTAACTGTTGAAAAAGGTTGAGGTGTTCATCTCTTGAGGCCGCGTCTGGCAATGCATGTAAGTGGCGACGTCATAGGGCTGGCGGACAGGTGAAGGCAGCTGGCAACGTTGTTGGTTGTTGGCTGGGTTGACTCATGGAACGTTCTGCACTTGGGATGAATCTGGGTGAAACTGATGACAGCTTCGGATTAGAAAATATAGTTATTTTATGAATGTTATTCACTGTGTCACTTCAGCTTGCTGTGAAGATCTGGTGGTCGTCGTCCAATGTAAGTCGTCGACAAAATCATTAATGTCCCCATCAGGAAGGCGGTGAGCATGCTCAAGCCGCCATCCCCAGATTCGGCTAGCGTAGAGGTACAACCATCAGCATCCCCAGCGGCGCGCTGTGAAGCTCGCAAACCAATGGCGGCCAAATTCCAGCAGCAGCCAGCTTGAGGCGGCACAAAATAGAAAAGAGCAACTCCAGCGTCTTGCCCACAAACAGGAGCGCACATGGATGAAAATTTGGGCCTGAATAGTCTCGACCAGCCACCACAATACCTCCCCGCGCATATCGGCTTCTACTTGCTCCGTCAACCGTCTCCAGGTACCTCCCGAGACGAGAAGCGCGTTCGGAATTAATACCCTGCTTCCACCGTGTCCAAGCAACGCCTCCGACCGAACGAGTGATCTTAAAGTTTTGATTCCAACGCTCGACCTGTCAACAACAGCTTCGATAGATCCAACAGCAACACCAGATACCCCAGCCAAGATGGTCGGCAAAGTCAGCGAGCGTGTCCTCGCCAGGGAGGGTAAGCACCGGTCGATACATGAAAGACGGGCAGAACCGCCAATTGCTCACCACCATCACCAGGACTCGAGCGCACCGACAATGGCATGAAGCAAACGAGCTGGCCCGACGTGCCACCAATTAATCAGAAGAATTACTACACGTAAGGAATAGCCAGTGTGCTGGACAACCGGGCGCATCAAGTTGTTGACATGGGCTGGGCAGGGACTACATGAAGCGCGATGACCAGATCTTGTCGCTGAGGCTTCAAGCAGAGGCGAACCGAGACCGACTGGTACAAAACGCCAAAGACCGCGATCGCGCACTCAACAACACCAATGGCGACGTTACGCTTCCCGTCGACGACCTCCAGGGCGAGGATGGTGGTCCTTCGTCGTCTTATATGGACCCGTCAAAGATTATCGTGATACACCCGGGAAGTCAAAACTTGCGACTCGGCTTTGCGAGCGATGCCCTCCCCAAGACCATTCCCATGGTACTTGCGACCAAGTACCCGCAAACCGAGTCTGAGATGTACGAGGCGCTACCGCGACGCAAGTTTGAGGAGCGGGGCATGGATCAACAGCACGGCGAGGAATGGTCAAAGAAGTACCAGAAGGCGTGCAACGACCTGAAGGTGGACATGCGCCAAAACAAGCGGAAGGTGCTGCCTAATTCCAAGGACCTTGTTGTCAACTTTAACAGAAGAACAGAACCAGAGATCATCTCGCAGCACAATGACCCACTCCAAGTCGAATGGACCGATGTCAGCACGCTGGAGGATGGTGGTTCAGAATCTGCAGTATTCATTGGCCACCAAGCCCAGCGCGTGCCAGACGATTCAAATCCCAAGTTCAAGCTGTGGAGGCCGATTCAGAATGGCTGGTTGAACGAGAACGAGTACCCTACTCAGGCGCATCTTTTCAACGACCTTGAGACATTACTAGACCGAGCCTTTCGGTGGGAACTGGGACTGAAGAAGAGCACAGAGTGGAAGCAGTACAGCTGTGTCATCATTATCCCAGATCTTTACGACAAGAAGTATGTCGAACAACTTCTACATCTTTGCATCGAATGGTTCGAGTTTAGCAGGGTTGCGTTCATTCAGGAGAGCATGGCCGCGACCTTCGGTGCCGGTTACACTCAGGCCTGTGTGGTGGACTGCGGTGCGCAAAAGACCTCCATCGCTTGCGTGGAAGACGGTCTCTGTATCGAAGACTCGCGCATCAACCTCAAGTTTGGCGGCTGGGATGTCACAGAGACTTTCATCAAGATGATGCTCTATGATAATTTCCCATATCAAGAGATCAACCTCCGTAGGAGATATGATTTCCTGCTGGCCGAGGAACTCAAGATCAAGTATTGCACTTTGTCGCAAGCCAACATCTCGGTCCAAAACTACGACTTCCACCTACGCGCTCCGAACCAGCCGACGCGGAAGTACATGTTCAAGTGCTACGATGAGGTTATTCTCGCCCCTATGGGTTTCTACGATCCATCGATATTCGACAACAGCCACAAACTGGACAAGAGGCGACATCTGATCGACCGGTCCTACAACGCTTATGATGTTGACATGCCTGACGACCCTACCTCTGCCGCCCAGCTCGCCATCCTGGCACATATCCAACCCTCCGTCACCCAAACCACTATCCCGGCATCTTCCTTCACCGGCGCCCCTGGCGAGATGGGTATGGCAACCCCAAGTAAGGAAAGGTCCAACCCGTTCAACTTCCTCGGCCACAACCACAATGCCAGCGCGACCCCAGGCACATCCAAAGCCCCCTCCCCAGCCCCGGACGCTGGTGTCTCAACCCCCGTCCCCGCCCCTTACATGTTCGGCGCATCCTCCCGTGATCTCAACGGCTCCCCCGCCCCCTCCGCCCGCAACGGCGGCACCCCCGCACCAAACGGCTCCTTCCTCTTACCAACAACCTCCTTCGACAACAACCCAACCTCAAACCAACCCCTCCAGCGAACAGCCAAAGATCTCGCCACAGAGCGGGACTCTGTCCTCCCCGTCGCCCCCCTCGACATCGCAATCATGACATCAATCCAAAACGCGGCCAAGGGGGACGAGAAAAAGGTGAGAGAGTTGCTAGGGAGCATCATGGTTGTCGGCGGGGGTGCCAAGATTCCGCATTTTGCCCCGTTCTTGGAGGAGAGGTTGAGGGCGAGGAGGCCGGATCTGCAGGACAAGATTTTGGTGAGCAGGAGCGCGAGGGAGATGGACGAGCAGGTTGTTGTTTGGAAGGGGGCGAGCGTGTTTGCCAAGCTGGCGACGAATGATAGTTGGATTACGGGGGGAGAGTATAAGGTGCTGGGGAGTAGGTGTGTTTATCATAAGGTGCTTTGGCAGTATTAGGGGATATAGGACAAGGAGTTTTTAGGCTTAAAAATCGGGGAGGTATTAACATGGGATTTTTTTTATAGTTTGATGAGAGGAGCGGTAGGGAAGTGCTATTTGATGATGATGATGATGATTTGAATGGTAGTTGATGGCGATGTTCTGTTTGCTGCGTTTTGTCGTGAGGCTGGTTGCTTGCTACCGTGATGAGCCAGAAACATTCACACCCAGGCTACAGCTAAGACTTTCAACATCCCGGCGTATTGTGTACCAGACCTAACCGATCAATATACTCCAAACTTACACAACCTCCTCGCACAACCTCCTCACAAGGACCCTCGTGATCACGAGATGCCAGACGCACAAAAGCCCACCGATTCCTACGAACTCCCCTGACAATGAACCACAAATTCCTCCTTTCCTCTCCTCTCCTCTCCTCTCCATCCACACCTTCCAAACAACACCAAGGGATGACGTTCCCGTTCCACCAGACCCGCTACTGATGATGACCTTGACTCGAGGGAAGTAGAAGTCGCTCACCGCTTGCCGGCTCCTCCGTCCCGTCCCTCTGCCACTTACCTGTGTGCTTTCTGCTCGCGCAACGAGGAAGTAAACCTACCCTGACGACGCCATCCGCCAGACGACAATCGGAAAGCAGTCCCTACACATTCCCGCGGGTAATCCAGCCGGCCGTCGGGCATGGGCGGAAGAATTCTTCGCTGGGGAAGTTGCTGGCGCGTGTGGTAGTCGTGAGGAGGCGAGGTCTTGCTTTTTGCTGGGGAGTGAGGGTGAGGTAGTCACGCGATGCACGGCTCCGAGGTGGAAGGTCCCACAAAGGTAGTCGGTGTCGGAGTGGATGTTGCTCCCGTTGCTCGCGTCATCGCCGGCTGGACTGGAAGGGGAGGGGACCAGAGTTGCCGTGGGTAGATTGGTTGGTCCCTTCCATGCCTGTCTATGTTCAGACAAGTGCGCACGAAGAGATATGGAAGGCGAGGAGCTGCTACCTACATGATGGATGGAGGGCCCGCCTTGGAGAAAGTATGGTTGGGTGCCTTTTGTGCGGCTAGTCATCCTGTCCCCGGCGTGGATGTTCACGAGGATATGACGTTTCAGTGAGAAACGAACCATCACCTGACCGGAGGAACGAGACCGGAGCTTGGTTCTCAAGTAAGGCAAGTACACAGCCGGAGGTCCAGGTCCAACTGGTCCATGTCCTTCTTGCTCTCGGGCGAGCTGATACCCGGGAAAGGTGCTGGGCAGGCGTCGCCGGAGGGGCCACACGGCGTGGGCTGCTCATCTTGTCTTCCCTATATTTTGCGTTTCCCTCCTCTTCTTCGTACAACCAACTTTCATCAACCAACATCCATCAACCAACATCCATCACCAGCCCACATCGTTCTGTCCAACAATCATGCCATCTCTTTTTGACAACCGGGATGAGGAAAGTTCTGGGCCCATGCCTTATGGTTACAAGGTAACTTGCCGGGCTCTCCGCCGGGACAAGATCCGAGCCGCCAGATTCTTTCAAGACCAGTTGCGAAAAAGCATCAAGTTCCGGGACTGGTCTTTCACCCGAGAGCGGTTTGCTTGCTAGATACACACAGACCTCGGTGTCCTGCACCAATATGTGGATAGAATCAGAGCTTGCCCAAACATGGTGAGCAAGGAATCCGAGTTCAGCCAGGTGGTGCAATATCTTGAATTTTACGCTCTTGCGGTGAGGAAGTGTATGTTTTTTGTCCCCTCACTATAGGCCAATAACTGATTGAGAGACAGACCTAGAAGCCACACATGGCGATCCTGCGCTCCCCCCGACTCCGGAGTCCCCTAGCGATCTACTGAGAACACACATCATTCCGCCAAGCTACTTCGTCAATGACCAACCACCAAAATTCCAGGCCGGGCTCCTTAACCTCCTCCAAATGGCTGCTTTCCCCGCTCAGTTTGCGGGCAGGTATAGCCTTTTGAGAGAATACGCACAACTCAATTTCAACACCAGTACGATGAATTGGGAGTTCTTCCACCTGCACGAAGACTGGAACCTGTTTGATCTGCCCCGAGACATGCAGACGCTGTGGAAAACCCATCGTTTCGCGCTGGAGTGTCTTGGTGAGACTGCCCGCTGTCCACGGAATCCCGCCATCGTTTTCGTCAAGCTTCGGCTTCACTGGTTACCGGAGGGCAGCTCTATGCCCAGTGACGCCGTCATTAACCTGGCTGACGAAGACATTCTGGAAATGATGAATCTGGAGCATTACGAGGAAGACACGTCTAGGTCTAAGGATGGGTTCGAGGTGATGTCGAAGCCTATATATCCTGATCAAGAGGATGGTTTTGAGGACGATGGGTTTGAGGGGTTGCGGCCTCTATATAAGACGGGGGATGTCTATTGCCTGCCTGTACCGAGAGAACAAGTCCTAAGGGTCCAGCAGGCTTTTGACCTTCAATGGCATCTCAGAGAGGCTGGGTTCATGGCTGGAATCAAATGTGCATGATGCGAGGTTTGGTATCATATCAACGAGCGATTGGGAAAAGAAGACACTAGCGAAAAGTTACTTGTATGCTTCTGGCAAGAAGTGCAGGATTAGCTTGCACTTGTTATGACCTGAACATGATTTCGTTTTTCTGCTTGCTACGATGACGTGGAATGGTGGAGTTCACACCACTGGAGCTGAGCCTCCCGTTACACCACAAGAACCACCATCAAGAACCCCAGCGAGAAAACGACATCTTGATAGCCAAGTTACATAGCATGGCTATTTCCAAAAGAAAGGCACATTCACATCATCACCACCCTGCTACCCTACCTACCTAGTACAGCCTCCTCTCCACCTTGACCAAAACCACCCCCTCCGTCTCGACCCCCCTCCCATCCATCAGATGCACAAACCTATACCCCTCCCTCAACCTATCCAACCTCACGCACGCCCACGCGGCCAAGCTGTCCTTTCCAATTTCGTCATCCCTCACCAAGAACCTGACAAAGCTCAGCTCTGGCACCACGCCGGGGATGCCCTTGAAGACCAGTTCTTGCCCTTTCCAGTCAGGGTCGACGGTGCCCTTGAGGGACTTGGTCTTTGCCTTGTACTCGCCCTCCTTTTCCTTGCCGTCGTCGGGGATCGAGGAAGAAGCGGCGGCGGTTGTGCCGTGCCGCTCGCCGGGCTCCTCGACGTGGATCTCGACCTTGAGGTAAGGGCGGAAGCCCGAGGGTTTGGTGTCGCCCAGGGGGAGGGGTATGTCCTGCGCCGCGAGGACGGCGATGGCGAGGTCCATTGTGTAGTGCGTCACCGCGTTTGCTTGGGGGGCGGTACCGGCGGAGGGAGGGGTTGGGGGGAGGGGTTTGTGGGGGCGGTAGCCTTCTGGCTTGAGAACATAGCCGTTTGTGCCTGCAAACATCCCCTCGTTTAGCATCATGCCTTCGTCCCAGTTTTGCCAGTTTAGTGCGACGACTTGGATCCCTTTGCGCCAAAAGACTGCTGGGTCGAGGTTTGACGATCGGATCCTTAACCCTGATGGGTAAGCCCGCATGAGGTAGCGGCGGTTGTGCTCAAACAGGTCCTGGGCTGATTTGGCGTGGACTTCGGAGACGCCGGACTCGGAGAGGGAGAAGATGTGGGTCGGCATTGAGGCTTCCGGTTGGGTTAGAGATTTGAAGGAGACGCCGCGGGTGTAGATGCCCAGTTTTGAGAGGGCGTGGATGATCTTGGAGGGTTTTTTTGGTTTGGTGGTGGAGAGGTCGATGTTTTCGGGGGGGGTGTCGCTGCCGGAGGGGGAGGTGGAGGAGGCGGATGGGGGAGGGGTGTATTTGACCTTGACGAGGATTTTACCCTTCAAGTCGCCGGGGGCGGGGAGGTATGTGGCGTCTTCTTTTGGTTCGGGGAGGAGGAGGTCGCCCCAGGTTTCGGTCATGATGGCTACCATGGTGAGTTGCTGTTCGGGGCTGCAGTGGACCTCGAGGGAGACGATGAGGGGGGAGTCGGTTGTTTCGAAGGCTGTTTCGCGGATTGCGAGGCAGACTTCGCGGAAGGAGACTTCTTTGGTGAGGGTGTAGCCGTGGTAAACACGAGGTTCCTTGAGGGAGAGGGCGCGGTGGATGGTTGGGCCTGCTGGGCCGGAAGAGGTCGAGGTTGACCTGGTCAGGGGCGCGCCTGAGTCTGTGCTGGAACCTATTTTTGATGATGAGTTTGCGGTCTTCTTTTCCTTGTTTTTGTCCTTCGCAGAGGGAGGTGATGTGGGAGTGGGCGATTTGCTGGCAGGTTTGGTGATGGTGCTGGATCGGGGGGTGGTGATGGTGGAAGCAGTGCTGATATGTTTGTCCAATTTCTTACCCAAAGACGTCTTTTCCAACTTGCTCGTCAGGGAGCTAGGAAGCTTGTCCTTGACCGAGCTCAGTCTCTTCTTGGACTTGGACGTGACCCCTTCCTCGTCACTGCTACTGATGCTGGTATCGCTGTCGGAATCCGGCTCATCTCCATCCCAGACATCCACCTCGATGCATCTGCAACCTCTCTTCAAAACGTTCCTGTAGGCATCGGCGCTGGAGTCACTCGACAGCTGGTTTCCGGTCAAGTAGGTGTTGTGGCTGGAGCTGATGAAGTAGGCAGATAGGGGCCAAGAAAGGTCGACTTCCTCAGGGGGTGCAACGGCACTGGTCACTTCTGAAGTCATGTACTTGAGAAAAGTGCCCAACTCCCAGTCCTTATCGTCAGCCAGTTCCAGGGCAAGTTCCGAGGGTGTATCGTGTTGAACCGTCTTCAGGAAAACAGCCGTCTGTTCGGGGGTCCAGCTGTCCTTGCCGTGGGCACTGTAGACCTTTCTGAGATGATCAAGGACATGAGGCTTGAGATCTCTCACTCGGTGCACGCGGCCAGAGACACCACCACCGGCTTGGTGTGCACCATCGGGAAGATGTTCGTATGCTGCCGCCATATTGTGTCACTCTGTAAAGAGCTCAAGCAAACAGCCGATAGAAAGCAAGTGTGTAAGTAAGTAAAAGGGGGTGAAAAGCAAGCAGGTTAGGTTCGTTCCCAAGAGACAAGTTTTGCAAATGTTTTTTCAGTGAGGTACCCAAGAAACAGAGCAGTTGAAGTGAGTGAGAAGCCGCCAAGAGGCAGAGCAAAAGGCCAAGAATCGGGTCTCGATAAGGCCTCCAACAACAGCTGTGTTGACCTCTTAAAATATCTCACAAAATTAATAGCGAGCTGCCTCCTTGGAGCAACAGTGAGGCAGCTCCCAAGCACAACCCCGCCATTGGCAAGCTCCCCCGTGGGGTGTGCCAATGTGGTCATTACGTTTCACTAAGACCCCGCTCCACTTGCAGCTTTCAGCTGTGAACTGGGCTTTTTCAGATAGAGAGAAAGGATCATGCTGCAACCTGCAGGATGGCTTATCCCGAGATACAAATCACAGGTGAAAAAGACAAAGTACAAAGCATTGCCTTCGGCTAACTGCTGACTGCGTCATCTCTGCTCATTTCCGCCGTCTTGTGGCCATCGGGGAAGTTGACTGCATGACATGGTCGTCAAAAGTGTGGCCACATGCAATTCAGGGGGTAGGGGGAGGGTGACCTTCAAGGTGCTCGGCTCAACCCATCCCACGTGGACTAGGACTTGGACCTTCAGCCTCAACTTCATTCTTTCTTGATCTACTGTCTACTATCTACTCCATCCCACCCCCGGGCAACTCCTCCAACCATCCATCCAAATCCTCCTTCACCTTCCTCTGAATCGAGCACTTGTTCGCATTGACAATACTCTGGCTCTTCAGCGTCGGACAGTTCAGCCTGTCCTGAATCAAATCACTATTGCAGTTCGCATCCATCGCCCGCTGCAGCGCATCCCCCTTCCACCCAAAGATGTAATCCCCGTGGTTGCCATACCCAGTCTTGTCACCAAACGACCACACAAACGGCTGCGACCCATCCGCTGGCCAGAGCGCCTTGTTGTTGAACGGCCGGGTGTCCCAGTATGTCTCATAAAACACCTCAGGGATCTTGATGGGGTGGGTAGAGGGGCAGTTCCGGTTGACGGGGTAGGCAACGTGGCTTTGGTGGTCGGGTGAGTCGGTGTTTTTGCCGTCCCAGCAGGTAGGGAAGCGGACGGTGACCATGATTCCTCCTGCGCAGGTGTCGGTGGGGAAGTCATATCGATATCCTGAGCGCGTCATGGGGGAGGCGAGGCAGGTGAACTGCAGGGCTGGGTTGGTGCGGGCTTGGGCTTGGGTGCGGAAGGCGGGGTTGCCCACTACCATGCGGAAGCCGGGCTTGAAGGCTGTGACCGGGCCATTGGAGATGTAGTAGACTGTTTGGCCTCCGTTGGATGCCGAGTAGCCCAGGCCGTTGCCGATGGTGTTGACACGCTTATAGGTGCCGTTTCGGGCTTTGAAGAAGAGCACGGCGGTCCAGTAGTTGGAGAAGTCTTCGGTGAACTGGCAGGAGGTGCAGGTTGAGGATTCGGAGATGTCGTTGACATTGGGGTCCATAGTGACGTTGAATGAGTTTCCACCGACGATTTGATGAAGATGGGGAGACGGGACTTGGCCGGGGTTGACGAGAGGGTCGAGACGGTCGACGACGAGCTGGGAGCAGGAGAATCGGAGCATGGCTGCCCGTACGCCTGTCAAGGGCACGATGGCCGCTGTGAGAACATTGGTCCAGTGCATGGTGAGTAAAGTATGGTCGCTGGCGTTCCTCTCTCGTTGGGCTCACTCGATACTCCTGAGTATGGATCAGACCAGGCAAGAGACTATATGACTAGGACACAGAAACCTCTGCCATTTAAATACACAACGAGCTCGACTTTGACAGTGTCGATCGAGACCTCGTCCTCGCAAAAATCAAGTACCGACCTTTTGTCAGCCAGCCATGTACCCCGTTCCAAGATTTGCTCATCAAGTCAACCATTCCGTTAATAACAAGCACTTAGAATAGTGACATGGTATTGGATATGTGCCCTGTGCATGCTTTGTGGGGTACATCGGCAGTCGAAGTCTTCGCTTGTAATGCAGCACCGAATATATTAGGCTGTCGTTACTTCCCGCTCCCGTTACCTTCAAGGCCGTATAGGGCCAAGGCGGGCTGTCAAGATCCCAATCGGGTGTTTTCTGATTGACGGGAAAATCATATCGAGCACGTGGAACGAGTTCAATTCATTCAATAAAGGTCAACAACAAAGTTGTTGGGAGTACGAGGTCAACTTACCAGTAGTTCTGATGAAGAGTCATGACACGGCGTCCTTTTCTGTCTACACACCATCCGTAAATTATAACCTCCACTGTTTAAACAACGCCTTGTTGAATGTTTGAACCTGGCAGTCCATGATTTGGATTCGCTTTGATTTACCGCATATCGGTTCGCCAAGTCTACTCTGGTGACTTTGATGGAGGGAGATGAGGCCGCCACGAAGGAGCCAACCACCGAGAACAAAGTTTGGACGAAAATGAATCTCGGATATCTTTAGCTGAATATATGGTAAGTCTTACGTCTGATTACCTATGTATCAATATGCTCTCGGCTCGATTTATATGATATGGGCACCCAAAACTTGGCTTCACCATGTTATCATTCCTATACAGGCGAAGAATATAGGAAGACAACGAATAATTCTCTTGATTCAATGAGAAGTGAGTTTTGGCTTATGAAAGATGATGTCAGGGCTCCCATTGCCTGCCGGGATAGCTTATCGTCAGCCGATAAGCAGTTGTGGCTGGTGAAGTTCCACTTTAATTGATGGTTGACATCTCTCGCGCGTCCTCAGTTTGCGACAATGCGACAACACCACCCAACTTCCACTTCCAGTCCCTTTTCACGTCACCACAGGACACAATGAGCAAACCAGTTATCTCCTTCGGCCTCAAAAAATCCGGCCCCACCTCTAAAAAACCCTCCCTCCCCGCGCGCAAAAAGCCAGCCCCCTTCGGCGGCCTAGGCGACGACGACGACGAAGACAACGAAGCTCCCCAAACCTCAGTATCAATCACCGAAATCGACGGCTTCGACACCCCCTCATCAATAAATAACCACAACGACTCCGACTCACGAAAAAGACACAAAAAATTCTCCAAACCCCCTTCCGCCCCCCCAAGCAAAATCCCATCATCCAAAACCCTCCAACCAACAGGGGAATTCACCGACCTCTCCAGCGCTCTAGCCTCCCGAAAATACGCCAAAGAAGCTGAGTCCGCCGACCCTTCCATCTACGACTACGATGCCGTCTACGACTCCTTCAAGGCTGCCAAAAAGCCCAAGTCTGAAGACGAGGCAGCCGCGGAGAAGAAACCAAAGTATTTCTCTGCTCTCCAACAAGCTGCCTCGCAAAGAGAAAGGGATAGGCAAATAGCGGAGGAAAAGCGCCTAAAACGAGAACGGGAGGCAGAGGGGGAGGAGTTTGCTGATAAAGAAAAGTTCGTCACCGAGGCGTATAAGCGGCAGCAGGAGGAGAATAGGCGGTTGGAAGAGGAGGAGAAGAGGAGGGAGGAGGAAGAGGCCAAAAAGAATAAGGGGAAGGGGATGACGGATTTTTATAAAAAGATGCTGGAGCAGAAGGAGCAGGAGCATGCGGCTATTGTTTTGGCGGCGCAAAATGCGGCGAAGAAGCCAGATGGCGAAGCTGAAGCTGGGCCAAAAGAGGAGGAGGAAAAGAGCGCGACTGAGAGGGCTAGGGAGATTAATGCGCAGGGTGGGAATGTGTTGATTAATGATGATGGGGAGGTGGTGGATAAGAGGCAGTTGCTGAAGGGGGGATTGAATGTGGCGCCGAAGAAGAAGGCGGAGGTACAGCAGGAGAAGGCGAGGCAACAGGAGAAGGCGAAGAGCAATGGCCCAAGCCAGGGAAGTAGGGGTGTTTATGCACCTGGTGGGAAACAAGCTATGCGGGAGAGGCAGACGAGGATGCTGGAAGCGCAGCTTGAGGAGACGCTCAAGCGGTCGAGGCAGGAAGAGGCGGAGGAGACGGCCAAGATTGAGCTTGCGACAAAGAGCAGGAAGACGGAGGCGGATGTGTCGAGCGCGAAGGAGAGGTATCTTGCGAGAAAGAGAGCTGCGGAGGAAGCCAAGAAAAAAGAGCCATGAAATACTTGCATGGCTTTTGGGGTGGAGGACGACGGACCGCAAAAATAAGATTCATCTGTTGCACCTCAGCCATTTGGGTATCTGTATTCATATACAACTCTGCCCATCCCTGCCCGTTGCTCTATGCCAATATCGTACAACATAGTATCATTACATGTCCCAAGCCAATGATTTAGTGGTTTCCCTCAGCCCCTTGCCGTAACCTCCGGATGTAGGTGCCGTTGACCTCGTTCCAGGACGCAATGTACTTCTCGACGCAGTAGGACATGCAGGTCTTTTCGCTCGAGGAGAGGGAGGTGCCGGGCTTGGGAACGCACTTCTCAAAACAGCTGCCGGTGATACCCTGGAAAAAACAAAACATGTTAGGGACTGGGATCAATTGTGAGAGAGGCGCGAGGTACCTCGATAAGAGCACGGGCGTTGGCTGTGTTGGTCTCTTGGAGAGTGGCCTGCACGATGGCTTTCTTGACACCTTCGGAATCCATTGTAAGAGGTTTTTTTTTTTTTTTGGCGGATTGATGTTTCTGTGTTTTGAAGGGTTCGAATTCAGTTGGTAACAAATAAATGGGCCGGATTTGGGGGACGTCGATCGAGGTTAGGACTGGAGATGCATGCGACTTCCAAGGCCTCGAAAAAGTCCAAGCATGCAGGTGAGGTGTGGCGTATGCTGGAGCTCTGTTGTGGCTGACCCTGCCAGGAATCTTTGGTGGGTGCAGCGATTTGATATGGTCTGTGCTTTTCCTGTTCCTCTGGGCAAGCCATCCTGGGCTTCCTTTCAGCAATCAAACACCTTGTTGACCATCACTCGTCGACTACTTCATCAAGACATTGTTTTTGCACTGCCTTTCATCCGGCCAGACTTGAAGTGAACCCATTTCAGCAAGACACAATCGCTATCATGCTGAGCACCATCAGAAGCCGACTCCTTGGCAAAGCCACAGCCAATGCTGACATATGGAGTATCATCGCAACCTGAACCAATGGCCTGCCACGCCCACATCGCTCCTCTATCTCACCAGTTCTCCTTGACAGAACATTAGTCCAGCTCCGGCAAGAGCTACTCGATATGGGTGAAGCCATTAATTATGACGACTACACAGTGGCATGGATGTGCTTCGATGAGCTTGTTGAGACAACACTTCTGCTTATGTTCGACGAGGAGCATGGCACAGTTCGAAGCTCGCGCTCAAAGCTTAAAGATGTTATCCAGCAGTTCATATTCGGCAGAGCATTCGTAAGGGAGATGTTGTGGTTAGCAACCTCTCTGACGACGGCAGTTTGGAATACTTGCGTGGAGGCCCATTGGATGAATCCCTTAGGAGAATCGACACTCAAGCTGAGCCGTTTGGTATCTATCAAAACTCATGTTGCGAGCCGGGCAACCCTAGGCCGCAAGTCATTATCACCCCTAACACTAAAGGCTTCGGAATGTCACCATTTGGGGATGGCACTCTTCAGGGGTTGGTGTGGGGATTCGACACCTTCCCTCACTTCTAATTCAAGGCGTCACGGACAACTGCAAGGCCGACGACTCACTGGGTTATCCTGCGGCCACAGTTGCAGCTTGTGTGAGGCAGATAATCACTGAACTATTTGCCTCAAAACAACTGTTGCCAACGTTAGTTCCCATCGTCACCTGTGTTTTGTGAGTTCATGCCGATGCTTTGCAAGCTTCCCTAGTCGTTGCTGCAACAGGAGAATCGAAGACACTCTATACTTAGGGGCATCTGGATGGCTTACAGCAAGTGATTTCACTACACGCTATCCCGCCTATATCAAACAACGATTTCCCGGGACCTGGTTATCGGTGCTATCCTCTGAAGCGTATCGTTCATGGTTACTCAGTCCGAATCGCAACATCTTAGTTTGCACAGGCAAAGAAGGGATTGGCAAAACAATTATGGCATCGACTATCATCCAAACCCTACAAGACAGATTCCGCGAAGATACCACGACAGGAGTCGCGTACGTCTACTTGGGTGACCTTCCCACCGAGCAAGGTCTACCACCTATCTCATCTTGTGTTTATTCCAGCAACTAGCGCAGAGCCTGTCAGATGTCCACACACCATTGATTGCCACAAATGCCCATTTACCAGCCGCTGATGATCTCGCCGCCATCCTCCAAGGCCTGGATTGGGTTGTTGCAAGATTTTCACGATTGTGGATCATCTTGGACGGCATCAACCATTGCCCGCCAGATATCCAAAGCGAATTATTCAAGTAGATGCTTAAACTCCAGGAAAACCACGGCCTCAAGCTGTTACTCACCACATCAGAGCCTATTCCCGAGGCTTTCAAGCGACGGAAAGGCGTCTTGCATCTGAAGATACGACCCAGACATGAAGATCTTGCCCGATATGTGACAGCAAATCTTTTTCGTTTGTCGTTTACCCGCCAGAGAGACAGAGAACTCACGAATCGAGTCATCAATGAGCTCCTTCTGTGGTCAGATCAGAGGTGAGTAACGAGGATAGTGGTGAGGTGCCATGTCGTGGTAGTCATCATCCACACAATCATCGATCATAACTAACTGTTGTCATCTGATAGTTTCCAATTAGTCAAAACACATCTGGATGTACTGACAGGTACAGTGCCCCCAAGCACGTTCCTTTGTCAACCGGCTTCCTCTCTCTCTACATTAGAGACTCGTGGCCTGGTTGTGGCGGTATCTACAAACAACCAGACCAATGTCACAGCCTTCTTGAACCATGGCGTGGATGTCAACACCACCGACAGCCTCGGCAATGCACCTCTTGCTTGGGCTGCTGAAGCAGGGTATGAGGCCCTTGTTGACATGTTGCTGAGCAATAATCAAATAGCTGTTAACCGTCGAAATCACGCCGGCCACGCCGGCAACACCGGCCTTTCACCCGCCGCAAGCCGAGGGCATGTCACAACTGTTGAGAAACTTCAATTGCACGGTGCAAACCGCAACTTGAATGGTGCCCTTGAGCATGCCGCAAAAGGTGGACATACCGCACTGGTGAAGCTGTTGTTGACCAGTAAACTCCGTGGTCTGAACTTGAGGGTCGGGCGCTCGGGATCTTTATGGCATGAGAGCCTTTCGACTTATGACCCATACGCCAATCTTCTATCGGTCGCTGTTGAAGAGGGACATGTGCAGCTTGTCAGTTTCTGCTCGCACAGGACGGTATAGACAAGGCTGTCAGGTTTCCCCAATATGGCCAAGACATGGACATGTTGACCTACGCGATTCAAAGGCGCTGTGACGAAGTCGCCGAACTGCTATTCAGGCAGGCCGAGATGGGTTTCTTAGACCCGATAGCCTCCCAAAACGCTGTGCGGGACCTTCTGCTTCGGGCTGCCAAGGCTGGATGCGCGAGTTCTTCGATTGCTCCTGTCAAAATATCGTGCTGACCCAAATCATGAGCCTATTAGCTTTTCCGAACTTTTGGCTAGTGGTGATGCATCAGCCGTATGCCTGTTGATGGAGATCGAAGGCGTAGTCCCGAGCTACATGGACAAAGAGGGCCGGACAGCACTAATTGTTGCAGCAATGGTTGAAAACGAGAAGGCTGTGGATATTCTCCTAGAAGACCCGACACTGGATCCCAATCATCGAGACCAAACAGGGCGGACAGCACTGGCCTGGGCAGCACTGAGAAGCCATCGATCGATACTGGCAAGGCTGCTCGCGATGGAGAGCATTGATGCTGACATCGTGGATGTCAATGGGAAAACGCCCCTCCTAGAATTATGCACCAGCCTTGACAACTGGAATAGCGGAGCAGAAAACGAAGCAGTTATTCGTCAGCTCCTTGCTTCTGGTCGAGTCAACATTAACGCAAGGGACAGCGAAGGGAGAGTGGCTGTAATGATGGTGGCAAAAACTGCCACTGAAGCCCATTTCCGGCTGTTTCTTTCTCAGCCAGGTATTGAACTTGAAGCGGAAGACGAGAACAGGGCAAATGTGTTGCTACACGCCGGCATTGGGGAAAACTGGAGGGGGGTGGAAATATTGCTGGAGCTGGGCCGGCTTGACTTGAACTGCAAAATATCGGATGAAGCGTCTCACGAATTACGTCTCCGCGGGCAAACAATCTTTAGCATGGCGATGGCACACGGGCCGGAACGTGTCAGGGAGAGGCTCTTCATGGAAAATGACATCGATGTCAACACCCAAGACAGAAATGGTAACACGTTGCTGAAGCTGGCAACGGAATATGGGCATGCGAGCATTGTTGACAGGATCCTCGGCATTGAGGGTGTGAATCCCAATATCACTGCTCATGCTGGAGAAACAGACCTCATGGCCGCCATCAATGGCCTGTCCGAAGAAATGGCAGACACCTTGTTGAAACACAAGTCGGTTGACCCAGAGAAACGCAATCCTGACGGACGGACGCCGCTTTCTTTGGCAGCGGAGCGAGGTTTGCTACAAACCGTCAGGCGGCTTCTCAGCTTTGACCAAGTCGACCCTGATCCCAGAGATAACGACGGTCGAAGCCCGCTGTCCTGGACTATCTCGCCATCTTGGAACCTAAGGCCTCAAGACACGGCGGCTAGTCGAAAAAAGGTGGCGCAAGAACTGCTCGAAACTGGCCGGGTTGATCTCAATGCCGAGGATACCGAAGGATATACTCTGGTGGAACGAGCAATTGGTGATTCTCGTGGGGATGTTATTATGGAATTGCTTCTGGCCAGAGAAGATGTCAACCTCAATCGCGTGGACAAGCAGGGCGGGACTTTCTCAAGATGGTTCTAGATCGAAGAGAGCCTGTTCTGTCACGGAAGATCTGTGGAATACCTGGTGTTTGCTCTGAGGATCTTGAAATTCTCGACAATCCTCCTGTCACACACGCGTCAGAAGACACCTCGAGCGAAGGCGAGGACCGAGTGATAATGGCAATGAAGTGGGGCAGGGGTCTGACTGGCTGTCGACTGGAGCTGGGAGTACAGCGCGAAGCTGACTATGATGGCGACCGCGCGGAGGAATGGAGTCTCTGCAAGAGATGCGATACCATCAACCTCGATGAGGCCTTTTCTCGACGATCGAGCTCATACTGGGGCAATCTGATCGCGAAGTTTGACGAGCCGCCATCAGAGAAAAGTCAGCAGTTATGTGGACTCTGCAGGCTGATAGCCAGCGTGCACCCGGCCCCCTCTGCGGATTCCAATACGGCAGAAGAGCAGGACCAGTTCGAACTACGAGCGTTTTCTGGCCTCCTCATTTTGGCTGTGCGAAGGCTCGGAAGACTTTTAATCGAATTTGCCAGAAGACTTGATCGACACCCTGTTCCTTGCAGTTGTCACCAGCAGCGGCATGAAATCTGATGGTTACCCTGATATGCAAAATATGAGCGACATCAACGGCTCAGAAACCTTTGAGCCCGTGATACGTTCGGGGTTTATAGCCCGCGTTGGCTCAAACTGCTCTTATAGAGGGCGGGCTCTCTCAGTCAAACACGTGCCATTTAATGAGGTGGATTTCGGGCAGATCAAGAGCTGGATCGCAGATTGCACTGGAAACCATTCAGACGCTGTCTGCAACCCAACCCAGGTTCATGAAATCCCACACTTTCGGCTTATTCACTGCGCGACGAGGGATATCGTCCATATAGATACAGCGCCGCCGCCACACACCGCCTTGAGTTACGTCTGGGGTGCCGTCCAAGATGGTCCGCAGAACCAGCATAGTCTTGCCGGCCTCAAAATGGAAACAGTCGTGGAGGATGCGATCAAGGTTACTCTCGCTCTAGGCTACGAGTATCTCTGGGTAGATCGATATTGCGTTGACCAGACGCCCGGATCGGTCAAAGACGAGCAGCTACGGCACATGAACTTTGTATACCATGGCGCGGAGGTCACCATCATCGATGCAGCAGGAGAAGAGTCATCCTTTGGCCTACCGGGTGTGAGCCAACGATTTCGAAAACGGCCGCCGGCGAGAAAAGTGCAGGGACACATCCTGACTACCATCCCTCCTGAGCCGAGCCGTGAAATAAAGTCGTCTAAGTGGGCCACTCGGGGGTGGACCTACCAGGAGGGATTGCTTTCTCGGCGCCGTCTATTCTTTACGCAGTACGAGGTGTCATTTGAGTGCGGTGGCATACTTGCCAGAGAGGCCATCACCGTGCCCCCTATACTAAGCAAGTTCTCAACTCGGCTACGCAACACTCGAAACAATAGGGATCGCCTCCAGCCCAGCTCATGGCTCTTCCCCTTGGGTGGTGTCACCAACATGGAGGAAGACGACTTGGGGGTGCATCAACGACTATCGGAGTACGCACCACGGCAACTGACGTATGAGCTCGATGCTTTGAATGCGATGCTGGGGGTTCTTCAGTTGTATTTGTCGTTGCCGCAACCGGCTTATCACCTCTGTGGCATTCTTATTGTTCCACAGACGCATAGATATGACTGGTCTCCGGGTGGCCCGTCTGTGTACGTGGATGTTGACCCTAATACTGTGGCGGCGAATCTGGCGGGGTTTGTTTATGGTTTGCTGTGGACTTGTCGTCAGCCGGGGACACGACGGGGGGGATTTCCCAGCTGGTCGTAGACTGGGTGGACGGGCACGGCAAAGTTTGAAGGGCCACGGCGTCAGTGGGATAGTTTGGCTGATGTGTCGATTGTGGAAGAGGGGAAGAAAGGGCTGCTTTCGTGGGGGGGGGTTATTTTGGTCTTGGTGATTGGGAGAAGAGGTATCGGTTTGGGCATCATCATGTTTTGGAAGTGGAAGGTTATGTGGGGTATGTCACTTTGCGGGAGGATACGCGGTATAAATGGTTGGATGGGTTTATTGCTACTATGGAGGTTGGTGATGCGTGGACGGATGGGGGTTTTGTGTTGACCAAGAGATGTGATGATGAGGGGGGTGAAGGGGAGTTTCGTAAGAGGTTGCTGAGGGAGACGTGGATGGCGGTGGTGATGATGAGCAATCATGTTTTGGTTGTTGAGCAACAGGCGAGTGGGCTCTGGGAGAGGATGGGGGTTGCGGAGATGTGGGTAGGTCGTTGGATTGGGCCTCAACCGGATGGTGGGGAGGGGTTAGAGAGGAGGAGGTTGTTGCTTGGGTAGGGGGAAGATAGGGGGTGGGATGGGGTCGAGAGATGATGGGACTGCTCAGGGATATATATATGCTACGGTCTGGTATGGCATCAATCAGAACTTGAGCTGTATCACCAATCAACGTTTTGAGGGACAGTGGACAAGGCCGTGTTGTTATTTCCCCGAGACATTTGGACTAATTTCTCAGTCTCTTGACTAGCCTTTATGGCGTCTCGATTTTGTAGAAGGTACATATATCAATTTCAAGTCCATTCTATTATCAAGCCCCTATCGTAGGTAGCATCTGAGGCGATGAGTCTGTACAGAATATTGCCATATCTTCTGCATAATCAACGTGATTTATTGGCCAGCTGACCCAAGGGCTCGTGCATTTCGAAGCTGAAGCGGCTCCACTCGTCGCCCAACAGGGGTAGCTCCCCAGCCCCCAAAGACCCGAACCCAGGCAGCCCGCAGCGTCCAAAAGGCCAGCTCACTACGAAGTCCAAACACCAGGTGCCAGTTTCCAACGGGAGTCGAAGACATCCAATCCGACGACAGCCGGGGGCAAAGAAGTAACACTCGGCTGAAGTTGCGCTGTACCGGACGAACGAACGACCACGACAATCATTATCTGCCTCTTTTCTTTTTTCTCACCACTGCATCTTTCTGTACACCTGGCCTCGGTCAAGCTACCCTTATTTTTTTCGACAACTACTCTACCACGCCACACACGACCACCACACTGCGAATCTTGACATCACCCACCCCGATTTTCCTTCTCGGCCTGCACCTCGATTCTTGACACACGACGCGCACACTGCTGCCGATCGGCACACCAACTCTACGAACACAGACCTGCCCATTGGCGACAACCACAATGCTGTTTAAGTCGACCCTGTCAGCCCTGTGGCTGGCTGCGTCTGCTTGGGCCGCCGGCCAGAATGACGAAGGGGATGTCAAGAGCATAGGGGTATGCAGAGCCACTTGCTGGGAGATGCTGCTTTCGTCGAGGGATCAGTTAGAGCTAACAGGTGTTATAGTTGAGGACACACACACTCGTGCAGGTGCGCATGCTCGAATTTCAAGCCCGATCGCATGTTCGATGGGAAAATATATGACTGACGACGAACCATGATAGCCCTACCTTGACAGTGACATGCAAAGTCGGTGGTATGACTTTGGAGGGGACACGATTATCCGTACCGACCAGTAAATCCCCCCTCGAGTCTTGAAGGCTATCCAAGAAGAAATGCTGATCGTTGATGCGCAGGTACATCCGCCTGACCTCGGACCACCCCTCGCAGATGGGATGGCTCTTTAGCAGAGTGCCATTGACCGCCACAAACTGGGAAATCGAGGTGGAATTCAAGATCCACGGCAAGGGCCAGCTCTACGGCGACGGGTTCGCCATGTGGCTCACACGAGAGCGCGGCAAGATGGGCCCCGTCTTTGGCGCCGCCGACAAGTTTGAGGGTCTCGGTATCTTTTTCGACACGTACAAGAACAACCGCCCCGGCGTCGTGTTCCCCTACGTCATGGCCATGGTTGGCGACGGCCACACCTCGTACGACAAGGACACCGACGGAAAGAGCACCGAGTTTGCCGGCTGCTCGGCCAGGGGCATCAGGCACGCCACCGTTCCCACCAAGCTTCGCCTGACGTACTTCCAGGACAAGTACCTCAAGCTGGAGCTGCAGTACAAGAGCGAGGGCGAGTGGACCATGTGCTTTGAGACGAACACTCCCCCCACGATTCCCCAGGTGGCGTACCTGGGCTTCAGCGCCGAGACGGGCGAGCTGAGCGATAATCACGACATCATTTCGATCAATGCGAAGAATCTGTATACGTCCCAGCCGAACGCGGGCAAGTCTACTCCTGGGAGCAACAAGGGGGGCAAGAAGTCTTATGGCGGACAGGAGGGGGGTAGCAGCTGGACTTGGTTCTTTATGAAGATTTTCTTCTTCTTTGCGGTGCTGGGTGGTGCGTATGTTGGGTTTACTGCGTACAGGGCCAAGAACCAGAGGAGCCACCGGTTTTAGTGGATGGGTAGAGCAGAGCAATTGACATCAGCAGCCACGGAACGGCATGGGGAAGATGGTGATGCAGGGAAGCTCGACCTTGAAACGGGTATCAGAAGAAGACGAACTCGTCGGAAGGGACGGAGTGCGCGGGTGGCTCCTTTCTCATATTTATCGCCGAATTGGGTGAAGTAGGGATAAGCCGAGATGGTCGTGTCCACACACTGGATCTGAACGTGTTGCTTGGGTGTGGGCGGGAAAGGGCATAAGCTGGATGCGGGATGGTTGTCATGTGTATGGGTCATGCTCTTGGTTTTTGTTTTCATATATATGGGTGATCATTGGAGGTTAGGCGAAAACGCTTGCCTTTTTCGGACGGATACAACAATTGTCCGGTACCGGTGGACTGCGGCCAAGACCTGAGTAGTCTACTTGCGTGAGACTCATACGGCCTCTTGTGACACTTATCCTTGCGGTATTCAGTAGATATTAATGCTATTTAACGTTTGATATCGTGGTGGTCTACTATGGTTTATCTTTATCTTATTTTTATTTCTTTGATTA